TTTGGAGGGTCCAAGTACCTTCTGAGAAGGACTTGGATCCCTAGGGAACATGCAAAGCTAAGGCCAAAAAGGGTGCATGATTGACTTAGCCACCAAACCACCTATATAATATGAATCCCTTCTGGTTGGGCTCCAGGATGAGTCAAAACTGTGGACATTTCCTGTCGGAGATCAACCATTTTCGTTCGTTCGAACGCACCGTACTCTGTTTCGGTGGGACCGGACACGTCCCCAATGCGACTCAACTTTGAGAGGGTCTGACTGCGATGAGGGACCTGGACTGACAAATTGTACCAAATTACTGGCCTGAAGTTCCTGAAGTCTAGAGATTTCCCAGATCGAAAAGGAATCTGTAACCTGCATGTCCAAACCACGTCTACAGTTGGAAGCGGAAAACGATGTAAAACCGAGTGACACCATTCACAGTCCATCAATCCCTCCATTTCAACGACCTCTGTCTAGTCTAGGTCTTCTTCAAAGTGAGCGCGTGTCGAAAATGATCCCACCCAGTCTAGTGTAGAATAGCGCAGCAAGACTGTTCATCCAGTGTTTGCTAGCTTGCCACACATCAAAAGGCGAAACTTGTTGAGTGCCTTATCCAAAATGATCACTCTCAAACAACTACCATTATTTTACGCAAACACATCCAACACCATATCATACATCCCAGCCATCCCAGCGTCACTTCCCCGATTCACCATATCCCATGGCCAAATGATCCAAACCATTCCAAACCTCCCGGTGTTGGCCGTTTGCACCAACGATCTGTCCTTGATCCACCGTTCCGACCGTTCAATAGATGGGCACTCTGAGTCATCTAGGCACTCCAACCCTCCCTTGTCATCCTGCGCCCCCACATGGCTCAACAAGATCACCTTCGCAGCGCTTCCAGCAGCTTCCAGGCACCAGGGTGAGGGAAATCAGGCGATCGAAGGGTTTGAAACTGGTGGATGGTTCACTTCAAGGTGCCATTTCTCGCTCAATGTATAATCCTAAAGGTCCGGCCCGGCCAAGTTGTTTCAAAACTTGTTCAAGAAATCGCCCAGCTTGGCTGTTTGGAAGGAAATTCACCCCTCAAAGCCTCCAGCCACCCGAAACGCCGGTATGGCACTGCACATTTGGGTGCCCCCCCGGGGTTCACGTGGCGATCCTCGTGGCGATCCCAAATCCAATCAGCTCGGACCTGGATTCAGCCGCCCACGTCCTCGACACCGACGGATCCCGCTGACGGATCCGTCCCTTCTCGGTCACCGTCGCCTCCTTCAGCTCCTCGGCGCCAGACAAAATGCTACGCAGCGCCAGCTTCGCTTGCTCCAAGGCGGGCTCCGTGGCCTGCCCGGGGGGGAGCGCATGAAGGGTGAAGGGTGGAAGGTACAAAGAGCCATGAAGTTGATAGAAGGCGTGCGATTGGAAAGAATGGTAATTTTCTTGATGTCTTGATCTGTTCACATCATTATACTTCATGCATGTTCATGCTTTGTCTTGTAGCAGAGATGTGCAAGAAAGAAAGCCCACACAAAACAAAGGAGCAGCAGCAGTTGTGTTAATGGACCTGTGTTAAGAAAACCAAGCGTACTAGTAGCAGCGAAAGGCGTGGACGTGGTAATGATAGTAGTCCCAGTAAGTCCAGTCCGGACAGGTGCAAAACGAGCACGTTCAAGCAAAGGCCACACTTCACCCTCAAATGATATAGTAGTATTAGTACAGTGCTTATATATATATATGTATAAACAATGTTCGCTACTAGTAACAGGTGCATCGCTTCTAGTAACAAGTGCCTTACTAGTAGTAACAAGAAGCTATTAGAAACAAAAGAAGCCAAACAGAGCATTAAGACCTACCCATCCTGATTCTGGGAGGTCCCAAGGACCGGTCGTTTACGACTGGTCGTTTACGACCGGTGGTTTTCATGGGCGCACTTCACCAACCAACTTCCAAGACCTATTTCTTCTAGGTGTTTCATTGCCGTTTTCAAGCTTCCAGCTTCCGATTTTTGCCCAACCAACGGTTGAACTAGTGAGTTTCCAAAGCTCCAGTTAAACTGGTGCTTTGACCCACTGGGCCTCCATGATGGTGAAAATTGAGCCATATGGGGTAAAACATGGCCGAGTCCAAGGCCTGGTTAAACCAGCACATCGTGAGAGTGCCGATTACACTGGCACGAAGACCCACTGGGAGTCCTGCAGTGCCTAGTGGCAGTAGTGTGGTAGAAGTGGAAGTAGTAGTCGTAGCATTTGGATGGGGAGTAGCAATAGTAGCAGTAGCAACGGTAGCTCAAGCAATACCATGGGCAGCACAGTACGAGGAATGGTACTAAATACCATCTAACACCCCTGTAGATACCTGTAGTACAAGTAAATCGACCCTCATCTAACATCACACTGAGTCAAATACCATGTGTTGGGTCTATCCCATTACCAGTAACAGCGGATCGATGATGGTTAGTAAAGGTCTTTCTCTCAAAGTGATCTTGTTTCTCGACTGTTGCAGGTAAAAGGACAACCCCAAACCATCTACTTCATCTACGAGCGCAGGGTTAAGTCACATCAGTCGGTCAGTCGGCAAGTCACAATCACCGCATGGCAGACCGCAATACACCGCATTGGAAGGAAGTCACACCAGTACTTATCAAGCTACTAGGGGCTCCTGGCCGTACTACTAGGAGCAAGAAGCTACTAGTAGCAGGGGCATCGCTAGTAGCAAGTGCATCGCTACTAGGAGCAAGAACTTCAATTACCATCTGGTCTGCACCTCCGAGGGCTCGGGGCAAATCACCGCCGCCTGCGGTTTGGCGCGAGCAGCGGTGGAAAAACGCAGCGAGCGCAGCTCATGAGCCGCGAATGGGATCGACGAAAAAAACAAGAGAACTCCAAATTTTGGAGGTTCTCTTACAGGCGGAGCAAGATCTCGATCTCCACAGCAACAATTTGATTGCAGTTTTGTTTGTATTCTAAGGCCCACTAGGGCCACTAGGGATACAAAAAAGACCGTCTTGGAATAGGAGACCCACCAACAATGGGTGTTGTCGTCTATTTGCTAGGGTTCTTTGGGGGCCTCCTCATTCCAACACACGCATTAAGGTGGAAGCGGAAAGCACTGTTAGTAGAGGAAAACAATATGGAGAAGAGTTAGTTGGCTCAATGGGCAAATTAACAATTGTGTGCCACTATGCAACTAGTCCATTTTACATATATTGCAGTACACGATGCACTTATTAACTTATTCTTATGATATATATATATATACATAGATATGATGATCTATTTAAACTATATATATATATTACAATAACTATATATATACATAATATACATATATATATTATTTGTTTTTAATTACTGGGATCATCTGGGACTCATCAACACCAACATCACCCTGCAAAGTTGACCCGCAAAAATGAAGAGAATGGACTGCCGGAGAGGTCAACCTACCCTACTTTGCAGGGTTGATGAAAGGGATAACTCTGGATTGTGACAACCATTGGGCTTTTCACAAATCCTACGTTCCAACACGTTGGGCGATCTGCAATACAGGCTGATACAGCCGACACTCCATGAGTTACAGCCATGACTTGTATGTGGGATCTCTAATTTTTGCGCTAGTACTTGAGAGTGAAAGGTAAGGAAACGAGCCTTGAGGCCTTATGAGCCGGTTGTGGGCCCAAAATAGCTTAGCAGGCCTAGCATGAGCTATCATCTCTTTTCATGGCAAGACTTGTAGGCCGTTCCCGGGCTAGGTGACGGGCTGCCCTGGGGCCCGGCCATACCACCAGACTCAAACTGCAGGGGGGGCGCCGTGCAGGTCTTGAGCATCTCATCCAAATCTTCGAACTTCATCCTGCGACGACGGTGCACGGCGATCGTGCACGGCGCTCCCTCATTTGCCGACATTTGCTGTTTGCGACATTTGCCGTGAAGGAGAATCAAAGCAAGGGACGAAAACAGCTTGAGAGTTTCTCGATGTTTCTCGTCCACTCACCATGAACAAAACATGGTTTCCAGGAGTCATCCAAGTCGATCCACCTCAAATCCCGCAGCTAGTCGTGTTGCCCAAAAGGACGCATTCCTGACCTATGGGGTCACGCCAGACCTGGACTGCTGCTCGCAAAGGAGGAAGCATTTCGGGCATTCCCTTTGGGCTCGAATGCTATCCATGTGGGCAAGCTAGCTAGACAGTTCCGTACCTCTCAGAACAGGTCTTCGTTGTTCAATTCAAGTATACATTCAATTACCACTGTATATAATATCTACAATCCACATATTCGGGAATCAGTGGTTCCAAAAGCAGATCACTGACTGACCTAGAAAGTCTGAGTAACCCAGTTTCGCATACACCAGGGTGCGCTCATGCACCCAACTCGACCTCTTTTTCCTGTCTCATCTTCATGGGACAGCCATGGCTGAAGGAAGGTTTTCCTTCTGCCGTGAGACTGAAGTCGTCGGACCACCGTTTGGGCCGCAGACTTCGACGTGAAGCTGAAGACAGGTTGGTGAGCCCAAGCCACATGAATTCATTATATATGGGTTCATTCATGCTTGATCATTCTACGTGAAGATGGAACATTTCAGCAACCTTCGATCTCCCATTCCGTTCTATTCTTGGAATCCTTGGACTGGACGTGGCGAAGGCCAGGTTGCTGGCGAAGCACCCGTCAGATGTGTTTTTTCACCACTTTTCAACGGAGGTGACGGCGCCGAGCTGTGGAACTCAGCGTAAGGGGTGTCCGAAGCTGTTCGATTGGAGATAGTCAGACCGACCTTGCTATTGGGGTGTCAGATCCATAAGGAGGGGCTTCCATTGGTGACCCCTTGGAAGGTGCTGGTAGGGATGAGTCTTTTTGGAACTGGTGGTGAGCACTGGATCCACTGGCACACATCTTGCAAGCTAGGCGACACAAACATATTTAATCCCAAACCCACCTCCTTTTTGGTTGAACAGGAATTGATAGGGATGGGCTGCACACGCTGGATGGATCTGGATGGCAAAAAGATGCAACATGAGGCCATCTTCAGCCACCTGCAGCCACCGGCCACATGCCAGCAACCGCATGTGCGCTTCAGCGACTCTGCTCACCGTCCCGTCGAAACGATCGGATTGCCAGCCCCCAAGTTCAACCGCTTGGCATGCCCTTGCACCTGGGACGCGGATGCCGGCAACATAGCATCAGTAGCACGGTCCCAAACGGTGGAGGGCACGCTGGTCCCGGCGGGTAGGGGCCTGTAGCAAGGAAGTACCACCCACAAGGACACCGATGTTGCTTTTGGACTGTTCTGACATCCATGCAGCAAGCAACATAACAAGCATCCCCTTGGACTCTGGATCCTCACAGAAATGGGTGCTGATCTGTGTTGAACAAACGATCCAAGTGCTTCAAGAACTCCCTGTATAGCTGCCAGCTGCCCCTATATATTATTTGTATATAATTTCATATAGACTGCCCTGTAGGACGCTGCCGGACGCCCGTCCGAGGCACCGCCCGAGCAAAGGAGTAGGAATCTTCCGCCTGGGTGGACACATCGGATGGACGCCATTTTTGTGCGAAAAAAAGGACTGGCATATTTACATTGACCCCCCTTTTCAACCACCCCAATAGTAAATATACCAATCCCATGGATGGTCTGGGGTACGAGCTTGACCGAGCATTTTTTTGTTCGGGTGTCGACTCTGTTTCTGTGATCTCATAGCATTGATGTTTGTGCTGCCCCAATCACAAACGACAAAATGTGTTGGGTGGAGTAGGTGGGTGAACGGGTTTTGATTCAAACTGAAAGCTGACAAAGTTGGAAGTGCCAGCGATGGGAACACAACTCTAGAAATCCCAATCCAAAACATGCTTGCCTAGTGTTGTTTCGTGCATCCCAAACCTGTGCCATTGGATCCTGAGATGTACAAAATTGAAGAAATGTAGTCGTTATTTTGACGTTTTTTGGTTAAAAAGCAATGTTTTTTGAGGGCACCGGTGGTGTGCCAGAAAAACACAATGTCACAAAGGTCCTTACAGTGGTCTTGGCACCTGAAGTTACCTCGAGTTGCGTGCCGCGGCGCATTGACCACGCGCATGGGCAGCGGGACGTACCCGGGGCGGCCGATCGGAGGCAAAGGTGCCTCCAATCGTGAGCCGGCGGAAGGTGGGCAGAAGATGTGTTTGGTTTTGGGCGGGTTGGGTGGTGGCATCCTTCAAAAAAAGGAGATCTAATTGAAACTTGAATCTGAGACAAAATATTCAATGTTAGTATATTAATCTCGTCGTGCCCTGGTGGCATCGAATAATCTAATACTGCTCTTCTGTCACAGCCTGACAGGGAACTGTCCAAGGATGGTGTGGCAACTGGGGAATCCGGGAAGAAAAGACAGATTGAGTTACCGTGGCTGCCAAAAAGCCACGCACCACAAACGGACCAAGTCCAAACAGGTTTTTTTCGCGCTCTTCGTGAACCCTTAGGAAATAGAGGGAATCCAACCGCCGGTCCATTTTTGACTTGCTGAGGCCGAGCACATATAATTCCACTCCTACTTGTACTATCTTGTACTAGAAATAGTACTACTACTAGTAGTAGCAGCAGTAGTCGTAGTAGTAACTACAGTAGTAGGTACTAAGTAGGAGTGAAGGTAGTTTAGTCGTTAGTAGGCAGTAGGTAGTGGTAGTGGTAGTAGTTAGTAGTTAGTAGTTAGTAGTTAGTA